CCATGGGGCCTCTGCCATGGTAACAGTCCATAGCCTAGTACTGCCCCCTACAGGGTTCTTGTATTTCACCTGTGCTCCTGGGTGACTCAGGCCGGTCCAGACCTCGCTCCTCCAGGGCAGGGAGCAGGTGTGTGGGCTGACAGGAGGCCTAGGGGGGTGTCTGCCCAGTGAAAGGGTGAGTGCTGAGCAGGGCCTCTGGCCTTAGCTTCTGAACGGTAGCCGCCGCTCCTGCCCTGCGGGTCTATGCAGGTCTTCCCCGGGCCACTGGATCTAGGCGGCTGTGAGCCACGCGCTGGGCTTGATCTGTCCTGGAGTTCACGTGTCTGCGGTCTTCTCTTGCTCTCAAGAGCCCTAGACTGTGGGAGACACAGATCCTGGCGTCCCTCTGCCGTGGGCAAGCCCCTTCCCCTTTAAGGGTCTCCCACAAACGGAGGGATCCCATTAGCTCCTTGAAGCCTCTGTCATGGGCTGAATTGTGTCCCTTCCCGCCTCACCCCATCTGTACGTTGAAGCCCTAGACCCCAGCACCTCAGAATGTGACTCTGTTTGGAGACAGGGCCTTTAAAGAGATGAGGTGAAATGAGGTCACGTGGGTGGGCCCTAATCCAATAGGATTGGTGCCCTCATAAGGAGGAGATTAGGACACAGACATGCACCGAAGGATGACCACGTGAGGACACAAGAGGAAGATGACTGTCTGCGAGCCAAGGGGAGAGGCCTCAGAAGGCATGAACCCCGCCCACACCTTGATCTTGGACTTGTAGTTTCCAGAATAGTGAAAAACTAAATTTCTGTTGTTTAAGCTCCCAAGTCTGTGGTGCTTTCTTATGGCAGCACAAGCGGACTCATAAGCCCCTTTCTAGATGTTGCTCTCCTTTCCTGGTGGGGCAAGGGCTGCCTGTGGGAGGGGCAGCAGGTGGGGCTGGGACCCCTCAGGGTCGTCACCATCTGGGGCACAGGGGGCTTGGCTACTGGAATGGGGCCTCGGCTTGAAGAAGCGGACAGATGCTCTGCTAAGGCTGAGCCCTGGTTCTCCCGGCCGGTTGCCAAGTACCCGGGGGCTCTGGGAATCTTTGTGTCTAACGAGTGCCCTCTGGTGGCCTCAGCTGTGCAGCAGCCCAGCCCAGGGACTTAACCTGTAACAGAAGCAGGTGAGGTTTCAGCTTCAGACTCCTTGGGTGTTTCTGGCTCCTCCAGCAGCTCTGGTTTCTTGATGATCAGGGCCTCATTGGCCATGGGAATATGACTCTTCTCCCACCACTTACGCATCTTCATTCTAAGGCAATGAGCCCCGTGGTTAACGCTGTGCTCAGTTCCCCATGGTTCCCAGCAGGACCCCTGGGCTGGGGGCCAGAAGACCCAATTTCCCTCCGTTTGCTGGTTCTGTGAGCAGCATCGCCTCCCCTCAAATGGGGATACAAGTCCCTACTCTCTTGGCCTGGACCCTCTTCCCAGCATCCTGTTCACAGCCCTCCCATGGCTCCCCGGTGTCCCCTGGCACAAAGTCCCCCAGCCCTCCAGCCTGGCGGCCCTTCATGACTGTGCCTTCCCTCTGCTTCTCTCCTGTCCCCCTAAAGTCTCGATATGTATGCAATTTTTTTTATAGACAAATCTTTTTTTTTTAAATTAAAAAAATATTTTTTTGGCTGTGCTGCACAGCTTGTGGGATTCCCCGACCAGGGATCGAACCCACACCCTCGGCAGTGAAAGCACGGAGTCCTAACCACTGGACCGTCAGGGCATTCCCTAGAGAAATCTCTTCTGCATCCCTTTTCTTTCTCAATATTCCTGGCATATTTGTGCATATCAGTGTACAGAGAGTCCCCTTAGTCTTTTCACAGTTGTAAGTTTTTGGCCTTCCTCCCACGGAGAGGTGGGGTTTATTTCCTCTCCCCTTGAATCTTGACTAGCTTACGACTTTTTGTAAAAGAATATGGCAGAAATGACACTGTCAATTCCAGGTCTAGCCCTAAAGGGGACTGGCAACTTACGCCTTGGAAGAGACCACCATGAGAGGCCCTGAGACTCCTTGGAAAGGGGGAGGGGCCCAGCAATCTTCTGACTGTCCCCATCAAAATGCCACAGCCCAGCCCAGCTGCTAGCTAACTACCACCACGTGACCTCAGTAGCTGCCACAGGAGGGCAGAAAAATCATCCAGTTGGGTCCCACCCACATTCCTGATCCATGAAATTGTAAGACACGCTAAAACGATCATGGCTTAAAATCATGGCTTAAGCAGTAGGGCCGGGGGATTATGACAACAAAGCAACCAGAACTGTTGTCGAGTTCTCTTGAACGCGTTGAGTTCAGCTCTTGTCACCCACAAATGGAAGAGTTCTGACTACTGCGACTTATCTCCCTTAGTAACCACCAAGCTTCCGTTATCCTCCAAAGTTTTCCACCTGTGAAAATATGAACCCCAATGCCCCATGCTCTCCCTGGTTCTACTCTATCAGCTTTCCCGTGCTCTCATTCCAATCTCATGTTCCTCTTCTTTGATCCCACAGGTGGAAGCTTCAAGGCCAAGACACCATGTTTCCCTTCCTTGGTTTCCCTTCCTTCCTTCCAACCCCACAGGGTACAACTGGTTGCCCACTTGAAGTGCTCTCTCCCTCCAGCCTCCCTGCCTCCCTTTCCCCCACCCCATCAGCCTTCCATGGACCCTGCCTGCAAAGACCCAAACCTAGATCAATGCCACCATCTACTCTTTCTTTCCGATGACCACTGGTGGGAGGAAACATCACAGGGCAATGCCGCTTACTGCCACTAACAATTAATAATCTCCAAAAAAAATTAATAATCTCCAGTCACTGCTGGGCCTTTGCTGCTGCTCACCAAGTGTTGTCCTTGTCCTTGTACAGATCCCAGTGATTCTCCTCAGTGGCTATCCTAACCACGCCTAACACTGTCCGTCTTCTTCATTCTCTACCCCTCACCCCTGCTCCCACCCACATCACTTTCAGCAGATGGCTTTGCCGTATTTCTTCTCTCCGGAGAGGAGCCACTGGGTAGGAGCCAATCACAAATGGCCACCCAGTGATAAATGTCACTTAAAGGTGAACCAGAAAAAGAACATCTGCTATTGGATTTTGAGAATAAGGATGACTGGTTGGTTTAGACAATGTCATTTCAGGGGCACGGTGCTGGAGAGCATATTGACGTGGACTGGAGAATGTGAGGGTGAGAGAATCAGAAAGTGGACGTCAGCTCTCTCTCTCTCAAAAAAAAAACAAACCCCAAAACACTGGATGGTACATAGAAGGAGTTTGTGGGGCTGAGGTGGGAGAGATTTGGACATATTTATATAATTCAGAGAAAGAGCCAGTGAAGAGAGGGTGATTGATAATTTAAGAGACAGGAGGAATGATTAATGAAGTGTGGACGAGAAGGATTCCCAAGCAAAGGAGGTAGGGCTAACCTTGGACGGGAAGAGGGATGCCTCTTTCTCTGAAAAGGGCAAGGAGTAAATCATCAGTGCCAATGGGAAATAACTTTGTAGGTTTGGGGAGCTGCTTTTTTCCTGCGAAGTAGGGAAACCTTATTGCTAAGAGTGAGAGGGGAGGAGATAAGAGAGTTGGGGGGAAAAGGAAAACATTTGTAGTACTGACAGAGTGCTATGCTGGGAAGGGCTGACTAGAGGTAGGCTGAGGGATTTCTGGGCAGTATTGATGCTTGTTCCCAAGGGATAAGGAGATACCGAAGGGGTAAGTTTCCCTTAATATCTTCCTTGTGCCGGCCTCTAACACAGCACTTGTCTACTTGTCTATGTCCTTGGAAAATACAGGAGACAAGGTTAGAGGGAAAAAAAAGAGAAAGAAGGTTTGACAAATATTAAATGAGAATCCCATAGTGAAAGGAAAGGGCAGAGGCATATATGAAAGAATGTTTGAGACTTTTCCAGGACTGATAAAAGACACCAAAGCAGAGATTAAAGAGGCCAAACAAATATAACAACAGACAAAAAAAGATATCCACACTTAGTCCCATCAGAGTGAAACCTTTAGTGCTAATACCCCAAGGCCCAGATGGCTATGAGGGCCCTGAAAAGACACCCAGCCCAGGTACCAGGGAAGGTTTCCTGGAGCACATGATGGAAGAGCTGTGAGCTGAGTCCTAAGCAATGAGTAAACGTCAGCCAGGTAAGAGAGGGGTTCAGGGATGGGAGATGAAGTGTAGGGAAGGGCACCAGGCAGAAGTCACTGTACAGCTCGAGCAGATTTAAACAACATGACTAATAAATTTGGTTTAAAGGATATATATATACACATATATACATGTACATATATATAATATTTATATAAAACACTGCATTCCACAAGCGTAGAATGCATAGTCTTTTCAAACCCACATTGGAATATTTATTTATATAAACTAAACAAAAATTTTGTCACGAAGAAATAAAGAACTGAAATCATGCATAGCATATTCTTTGACCTTATTGGATTTAAATAGAAATAAAGAAAAGAGGATTATTAGAAAATATTGATGCCGCTAAAAAAACCTCTATGGGTCAAAAAATAATAACGGAAATTAGCGATATTTAAACCAAAAGATAATAAAAGACTTTATAGTAAAACTTGTGAGACTCAGCTACAGTCATGCTTACAGGGAAATTTATAGCCTTAAATGGAAAACTGGAAAAGAAGAATGGCTGAAATGTAATGATGTAAGCGTCTGTATCAAGAAAACTGACAGAGCTGAATTAACTGGAAGAATCATAAGGAAGGAAATAAAGAATGTAAATAAATGTGGTAGGCTTTGGGGAAGGCTTGCTGTTGATTTTTTTTTTTTTTTTTTTTTTTTTTGCGGTACGCGGGCCTCTCACTGCTGCGGCCTCTCCCGTTGCGGAGCACAGGCTCCGGACGCGCAGGCTCAGCGGCCGTGGCTCACGGGCCCAGCCGCTCCGCGGCATGTGGGATCTTCCCGGACCGGGGCACGAACCCGCGTCCCCTGCATCGGCAGGTGGACTCTCAACCACTGCGCCACCAGGGAAGGGAAGCCCCCTTGCTGTTGAATTTTAACTTGATACTCACGCAAGGAGAACAAGGAAGGAGAATAGTGCTGATGCAATGGGTCCATACACGACGCCCTGGATCAGCCCTTTCACGAACGCATTGGAAACTGAATTCTTATCTGGAATCAGAGGGAAGTGGGAGTAGTTTTTCTCCTAAGGCTGTAAATTCTGAGCCAATACTCTTTCCTCTGGCTCTGTACCCAACCTCATCCTGGTCCCTAGGTGGTGTCGTTCTAGCCCAGCAACTAGACCCCTGTATACTTACCTGGTATGAGGAAGATGCTTGAAGTATGGATGCCATATCGGTCCTTCCCCTCACAGTGGAGGCCCATGGTTATTTCAGGCTCCCCGAGGAGGGTGATGGTGCTGTTGGCCCAAGGGGCAATTATGCTAAAAGTCACCTGGAAGATGTTATTCATGTTGTTCAGACCCATGGGAGCACCTCCCATCAACCACTGCAGGGAGGGCGTGGGGAGCCCATGGAAGGAACCGCTGCACTGCAGAGTCTTCTCCAAGGAACAAGAAGAATAAAGCAGACTGGCGGGGGCTGTAGGGAAGCAACGTCAAGGGTCAGTAAGCATCCTGACTTCTCTGCTTCCTTCAGGATGAACACCAAGGTCTGGTGAGTTTCCCATACTTTGTTGCTGGGAGAGGAGGGGCGCTGTCCACTGGGAGATGACAACTGGAAACAGGTGTCTGGTCTCTCCTAGGTCCTGCCCTGTGTGCTCTTCCCTCTGCTGATTTTAGTCTCTGTTCTTTTGTTATAATAAATCGTAACCAGGGGAGACTTCCCTGGTGGTGCAGTGGTTAAGAGTCTGCCTGTCAATGCAGGGGACATGGGTTCGAGCCCTGGTCCGGGAAGATCCCACATGCCGCGGAGCAACTCAGCCCGTGCGCCACAACTATGGAGCCTGTGCTCTAGAGCCTGCGAGCCACAACTACTGAGCCTACTTGCCACAACTACTGAAGCCCGCGCACCTAGAGCCTGTGCTCTGCAACAAGAGAAGCCACTGCAATGAGAAGCCCGTGCACCACAACGAAGAGTAGCCCCTGTTTGCTGCAACTAGAGAAAGCCTGTGCGCAGCAATGAAGACCCAACGCAGCCAAAAATAAATAAAGAAAAAAATATATTTATAAATAAATAAATAAATTGTAACCAGGAATAGAATAGTTCTGCTGAATTCTGTGAGTCCTTGTGAGTTACTGAACCTGAGGGTGGTCTTGAAGACTCCCAAACTGCACCAGCCCAACCTGGTCTGCTGGGTATTTTTTAGTTCTCTTGTTGTTGGTAGTAACTGTATCTTGTAACCTTGGTCATGTTGCATCATTTCTGTATCGTAGTTTCTCAAATCAGAAAAATGGGTACAGGGACTTCCCTGGTGGTTCAGTGCTTAAGAATCCTCCACCAATGCAGGGGACACGGGTTGGATCCCTGGTCCGGGAAGATCCCACATGCCGCAGAGCAACTAAGCCCGTGCACCACAACTACTGAGACTGCACTCTAGAGCCCGTGCACCACAACTACTGAAGCCCGCGTGCCTAGAGCCTGTGCTCCGCAGCAACAGAAGCCACCGCAAGGAGAAGCCCGTGCATTGCAACGAAGAGCAGCCCCCACTCGCCACAACTAGAGAAAGCCCGCGCGCGTACCAACAAAGACCCAACGTAGCCTAAAATAAATAAATTTATTTTTTTTAAAAAAAGAGAGAGAGATTAAGGACCCTGCCTGAGGTCATAGAGAAAAGAGTAACAGCATGAGGCTGGACCCTGGCTTCCCACACGTGAAGTCCAGTCCCCAGCTCATCACATTGGTGATCTCGATACACTTGGTTCTGGGTCACCATGCTTTTTGTCTTCTCCAAGACTTAACAGCACCCACAGCACAGGTGATGGTGTTGAGAGAGCAGATGTGGATACATTGATCATTTGGGTTCTACAGTGCCTGGGCACAGCATGAAAATGGAACTAGGAGTCAGAAGAGCTGAGCACTCCACTAGCTAAATTTCTAGTGACTTTGGCCAAGTTGCTTAACCTCCCAAAGACTGTTTCCTCATCTGTGAAATGGGGACTGTAATTCCTCAGGGAGTTGTTGGGTAGAGAAAATGGGACACAGGGTGGGTCACAATGGCAAGCACAGAAAATGCACATGGAAGATGTCTATTACGTATTATTTATCATTCTTTAGGTCATCACCTCTTCACCTGACCTCAGCCCAGCCCAGCTTCCACCCCCGCAGCCACACCCATCCCAGCACTTCCTTGGCTTCCTCAACCACCTCCTACCCGGCCTCGCGTTCCACTTACCCAACCGTAACAGTGGTAGTACCATCAGCACCAACAGGTTCTCAGGGACAAGAGAGGATCAGGACCTATTATGCTGCTGACTCTTGATCTCAGATCCACATGTCCTGGAGGGCAGGATTTGGAATGCATCAGGAGAGGAGAAGCAGTTAGAAGCAGAAGGTGGAGGTAGAAATATATTCCTTTTTTAATGGGTATTTTTTTTTTTTTTTTTTTTTTTTTTTTTGCGGTGCATGGGCCTCTCACTGTTGTGGCCTCTCCCGTTGCGGAGCACAGGCTCCGGACGCGCAGGCTCAGCGGCCATGGCTCAGCGGCCATGGCTCACGGGCCCAGCCGCTCCGCGGCATGTGGGATCTTCCCAGACGGGGGCACGAACCCACGTCCCCTGCATCGGCAGGCGGACTCTCAACCACTGCGCCACCAGGGGAGCCCTGTTTACTGGGTATTCTTATCTCTGCAATCACCCTTAAGGTCCATCCACCTGTGAATTAGGAGCCTCATGGGACCAGAGGCTGAGCAGCTTCAGGAACAGGGACAGGGAAGGTTCCCCGTGACTCTCTGTGGAGTCTCAAGACCATGTCTTCTTTCTTCTCTTTCCTCTAGTCTTCACTCACAGCCCCTTCTCCCTTTAAAGGGTCTCAAATGCCAGGCCGAGGAGCTTGGGCTTTTTCGCAAGTCAATGGGGAAGTCGTGGAAATCATGGAAACGTTTTGAACCATGGTGGGGGGGCAGGCAACAGGTGTGGATGTTATAAAGGTCTCTATGGTCTGCATTGAGGAGGAAGCAATAGTTCAAGAGAATGAGGATGTGGTCTGAGCTGGCCCAGTGGCTATGGGGGATGGAGAGGATGGGGTATATTTAAGAGACATTTGAGTGATAAAAGACATTTCTACGGCTGGCAAGATAAATTCCAAACTCCCTTGCCTTGCATCAAGGCTGTCCATGATTTGGGCTCACACTTGCCCTATCTCTACTGCTCCCCTTTCTGCCATTCTTTGCAAGCTTAAGAGAAACAAGTATGTGTACATATATACCACATCTACTCCGTGCATTCCTACCTCTGTATGTTTACTTGGGCCGCCGCCTTTTTCATGGCATCCTTCTGCAACTCTCCCCTCTGCCCACATTCAAATCATACCTCTCTTTCTAGCCCAGGTCAAATGTAACTTCCTCCTGGTAGCCTTCCTGGATCCTCACAACCACAAAAAAGCCTCCTTTCTCAGACTTTCTTCAGCACTTATATATTTTCATCTCTTTTAGAGCAATGTCTCAGGCAGAACCCAAGAGTTGCCTGATATCTACCGTCTTGTATGTTCTTATTATTTCAAATTTGTTCAGGTGGTGATGTTATCAGTTTAAAAAAAAAACCCTATTTCCCTTCCTCTCTTACATCTAGGGCTGGCCACGTGACAGAGTTCTGGGCAATGAAGCAAGTACAAGAAAGATGCTATTAAATTATTATCACCAAATAGAAGTCCATTCAGCCGTTACCCCATTTTTTGCCATCACAATTGAGCTCTGAAGGTCTGTTTTTTGCATATAATACTAGCTAATGAAATTTGAGAGCTCTATTTTTTTAAAAATAAGTGTTCATGATAAAGGAAATGTGTCTCAGAAAGAATTGAAGATGTTCCCTTCCCCTGCAGCTATAAATCAAAAGATACGGTTTTGTGTCATAAAAAGGTTCAGGGAATCTGATTTGATATTGTGCAAAACTGCGAATGTTTATAAGAACATAATTTATGTTCTCCTCTGCAATATACAGTTTCATATGAATATTCAAGACTGGTACTGATTTGTTCTGTTCTCTGTTGATATAAGTCCGCCCTCAGAAGAACAATTCAAACAAAGCAGTCTTACGATACTCCAAAGACATTAGAAATTATTCCATGTCTTATGAAAATGATATCCCAGTAAAATGGAATTCTGACCAGTGGTCTTACTTGATAATTTTTTGCTCTGGTAACAATAACATTGTAATTGACATCTCTGTTTCTTAAATTGTATACCTATCTGTAGGACGGTTCTGTTCTCTTCTCCCACGTGAACAATGCAAAAATAAAAACCACAGACTCTGCTGTTAGATTTATTATTACGCAAATATCTTGAGAGACTTGCCTACTTGAAATACCAAATGTCTGAGGCTATCTGCTGGAGTCTTTTGGGGAGTTCTGGTTTTCTCATATTAGCACCGCTACTTTCTTCTTGTTGCTTTTCTTCTTCTTTTTCCCTGGAATATACATGTGATACGGGAAGTGGAGCAGCCATCTGGCGACCGTGAGGAACCATGTAGATCAAAGCCACAGACTGAGGAAATTATTGACAACAGTATAGGGATCCTTGTTCCCTGACAGCCTTGTGGAGCCGCTACACAAACTTGCACAGTCTACTGCACGCTTCTTCATTTGGTTACTGCTTTCATTGGGAAACTGATGAAATACCCTACCAGGGAATCTATCCAAGAGTCAGCTCCTTGAGAAAAGGCCCTACATCAAATACATCTTTGTGTCCTTCCCAGTGCTTAGAAAGGTTCTCTTCTGAAAAATATATTCCTTATTATCCTTGTAATGTCTTTAGGATCTGTAGTTATAACTACTCTTTCATTCTTGGTATTCAAAATTTGTGTCATCTCTCTTTTTCTCAGTCAGTTTCCTTAAGGTCTATCAATTTTATTGAGTTTTTTTTTTTTTTAAAAATAAGCTTTTGGTTTTCAACCGTTTTTTTTGTATCGCTTCTTTTTTTTTTTTTTTTAATGAAAAAGCCACTTTATTGAAAATTTAGTTGTTTCCAATTCTGGAAGGTTAATTTTTTTTAACATCTTTATTGGAGTATAGTTGCTTTACAATGGTGTGTTAGTTTCTGCTTTATAACAAAGTGAATCATTATACATATACATATGTCTCCATATCTCTTTCCTCTTGCATCTCCTTCCCTTCCACCCTCCCTATCCCACCCCTCTAGGTGGTCACAAAGCACCTAGTTGATCTCCCTGTGCTATGCGGCTGCTTCCCACTAGCTATCTATTTTACGTTTGGTAGTGTATATATGTCCATGCCACTCTCTCACTTTGTCCCAGCTTACCCTTCCCCCTCCCTGTGTCCTCAAGTCCATTCTCTAGTAGGTCTGCATCTTTATTCCTGTCTTGCCCCTAGGTTCTTCATGACCTTTTTTTTTTTTTCTTAGATTCCATATATATGTGTTAGCATATGGTATTTGTTTTTCTCTTTCTGACTTACTTCACTCTGAATGACAGTCTCTAGGTCCATCCATCTCACTCCAAATAACTCAGTTTCATTACTTTTTATGGCTGAGTAATATTCCATTGTATATATGTGTCACGTCTTCTTTATCCAATCATCTGTTGATGGACACTTAGGTTGCTTCCATGTCCTGGCTATTGTAAATAGAGCTGCAATGAACATTTTGGTACATGACTCTTTTTGAATTATGGTTTTCTCAGGGTATATGCCCAGTAGTGGGATTTCTGGGTCGTACGGTAGTTCTATTTTTAGTTCTTTAAGGAAACTCCATACTGTTCTCCATAGTGGCTGTATCAATTTACATTCCTACCAACAGTGCAAGAGGGTTCCCTTTCCTCTACACCCTCTCCAGCAGTTATTGTTTGTAGATTTTTTGATGATGGCCATTCTGACCGGTGTGAGATGATACCTCATTGTAGTTTTGATTTGCATTTCTCTAATGATTAATGATGGTGAACATTCTTTCATGTGTTTGTTGGCAATCTGTAGTATATTTTCTTTGGAGAAATGTCTATTTAGGTCTTCTGCCCATTTTTGGACTGGGTTGTTAGTTTTTTTGATATTGAGCTGCATAAGCTGCTTGTAAATTTTGGAGATTAATCCTTTGTCGGTTGCTTCATTTGCAAATATTTTCTCCAATTCTGAGGGTTGTCTTTTCGTCTTGTTTATGGTTTCCTTTGCTGTGCAAAAGCTTTTAAGTTTCATTAGGTCTCATTTGTTTATTTTTGTTTCCATTTCTCTAGGAGGTGGGTCAAAAAGGATCTTGCTGTGATTTATGTCACAGAGTGTTCTGCCTGTGTTTTCCTCTAAGAGTTTGATGGTGTCCGGCCTTACATTTAGGTCTTTAATCCATTTTGAGTTTATTTTTGTGTATGGTGTTAGAGAGTGTTCTAATTTCATTCTTTTACATGTAGCTGTCCATTTTTCCTAGCACCACTTATTGAAGAGGCTGTCTTTTCTCCACTGTATATTCTTGCCTCTGTTATCAAAGATAAGGTGACCATATGTGCATGGGTTTATCTTTGGGCTTTCTATCCTGTTCCATTGATCTAATTTCTGTTTTGTGCCAGTACCATACTGTCTTGATTACTGTAGCTTTGTAGTATAGCCTGAAGTCCCAGAGCCTGATTCCTCCAGCTCCATTTTTCTTTCTCAAGATTGCTTTGGCTATTCGCGGTCTTTTGTGTTCCCATACAAATTGTGAAATTTTTGGCTCTAGTTCTGTGAAAAATGCCAGTGGTAGTTTGATAGGGATTGCATTGAATCTGTAGATTGCTTTGAGTAGTAGAGTCATTTCACAATGTTGATTCTTCCAATCCAAGAACATGGTATATCTCTCCATCTATTTATATCATCTTTAATCTCTTTCATCAGTGTCTCATAATTTTCTGCATACAGGTCTTTTGTCTCCTTTGGTAGGTTTATTCCTAGATATTTTATTCTTTTTGTTGCAGTGATAAATGGGAGTGTTTTCTTAGTGGAAATGGTTTCAGTTTTTCACCATTGAGGACGATCCTTTTAATGTGCTGTTGGATTCTGTTTGCTAGTATTTTGTTGAGGATTTTTGCATCTATGTTCATCAGTGATATTGGCCTGTAGTTTTCTTTCTTTGTGACATCTTTGTCTGGTTTTGGTATCAGAGTGATGGTGGCCTCATAGAATGAGTTTGGGAGTGTTCCTCCCTCTGCTATATTTTGGAAGAGTTTGAGAAGGATAGGTGTTAGCTCTTCTCTAAATGTTTGATAGAATTCGCCTGTGAAGCCATCTGGTCCTGGGCTTTTGTTTGTTGGAAGATTTTTAATTGCAGTTTCAATTTCAGTGCTTGTGATTGG